ACATTTAAGAAATTGTCATGGCGGTAGAATAATTAGAATCGGAACGAAAAAAAAAATTTGAAGTCAAATTTTCGAATCAAAATCGTCCAAAGTAAAAAATAATACCAAGAAATTTGTAATTTATTTCAGCAAAAATAATACCAAAAAATAAAACACACATTGCCTCAAAATACAAGATATGCACATGTACTTATCTCTTAAATCAAGTCTCAAGAAACAATGAACCTAACAGATATACACAACACTTACGTGAGAAAATTGAATCCACATTTTAATCAGAAACGTATAAATATTTATAATATGATTGAAGATGAGTGATAAGTGATAACTCAAAGGGGACACATCACATATATAAATAGACATGTCAATAACCTCAAAATATTGTCTGCACAACTGGCTTTCTGCAAAATCCCAATTAATTTTACTCACTTATAAAATAGAAAACATGCATTAGTGAAGAAGACAAATAAAAACCATGTGATCTTGCTACTCTCAATTATCATGTGGCCAGCAGAAATTCAATCCCGCTTATATAATATAATTGTCCTTTTTTTTTTTAATTTTTAAAAATTTTAATATTTTTTTGAAAACTAAATAATTTTATTACATACAACTTTATAACTAGAGGTAGATGAACCGATCAGAATTAGCACTTTCGGAAAACCAATTATAATTCCGTTTGAGAAAAAATGGAAAATGAAATGAAGAATTAGTAATGCAATTTTCGGGATACTTTTTTATTTTTTTTGGGAAATTGGAATCCCGATCGAACAAAATTTCGGAATCAAATGTTGGATTTTCTAAAATCCGAATTGAAAGATGGTGTTAACAAGAAAAAATCGAATCGAAATCAACGTAAATAAAAAAATTCGCACCAAATTTCAGCCCTAGTGTAAGAGGGTGTTTGGCTAAGCTTATTTTAAACAGCTGATAAGCTCCCACGTCCGATAAGATATTTTAAAAGCTGATAAGTTGTTACGTCTTATTTTTATGATTAATTTTTAGAGTGTTTGGATAATTAGCTTATTTCCTATTTTTAATCATAATAATATCTTAAATAAAAATGTGGGGTGGAAGTATTTTTTTAAAAAGATTTTATTTGTTCTCCAACAGCTTATTTTAAAAAAACTTAAGATCTTTTTAAAAAAAATACCAAACACTTTGAAAGAGCTTATAAGCTCTAAAATATCTTATAAGCTTCTTTTAAGATCTTATAAGCTTAGCCAAACACCCTCTAATTATTTAATTGGTGATTTCGTAAGTGGTCTCACAAAAAATTTAACAACATTCAAATCAACCGTTTTGTATGGGCCCACCATAATTATTCACATTGAAGATGGATTTAAGTTAGGGGGAATACGATGCTACACCTGGTGATTTTCACCGGGTGACTCTTTTCTAGACATGTGTCATTTTTTATTTATTTTATAATTATATTCTAAAAACTCATTGGGCCATAACTGAACGCGTAGTAGAATCTTATTAATTAGGGTGCCTGGTTATATTCACCAGGTGTAGCATAAAATTTCCCTTCAAGTTAGCTATGATTTCTCCCACGAAACATTGATTCCATGTCCAATTTGTACACGAAAACTCAAGTTGACTAGAAATTTATTATTGCTTTTAGAAAAAAAAAGAAAAAAAAAAAGAAAACACCACCACCACATACCTCTTATAGAATCACTAATGATAATCATTTGATGTAACCCACTTTACCTTGATTTAATAATCACCTTTTTATCTTCGTCCTGACAATGAATAACGTAGCAGTTAGACTAAATGAGCTTACGTCAATTGACTCATGTTTGAATTTTATTGTCAACGGTTGCTAAATTGAATTTGTCACACATTGTTAGTTTAATATAATTTACGTTCCTCTGCAAGTTATTATACGAGAGTATAGGTTACTCAGTAACCAATATAATTGGCTGGACGTTTTTTCGTTGCCATTTTCTTTTTTTTAAAAATCACCTTTTTTATCCCAATTATTTTTAATAAATAATACAAAAAAAGCACCTTTTAAAAATAAAATAAAACTTGAATGATGGATATAAATTCTTGGATTCCACTTTACCTTTATCTAAAAGGAAAAAAATATATAATTATGCTTTTTTGATTTTAGAATCACTAGCATTTTTTCCCCGTGGGATGCACGGGATATTATTTCAAAAGTGAAAAGAAAAATCAATTTAATACATAATAAGAAAATATAGTACATTAACATAGTAACATTTAATTATGTAGTATTACTCATATTTTATATAACATTAGTTTTTTTAAATCTTACCTATTAAGATTTATAACCCAAATATATAGGTTTAGATTTAGCAAATCGAATTTCCACCTTTATATATTAAGATTTGAGATATATCGATGAAAAATAGGAGATTGATAATTATTGAAAATTAATACAGAAAAAATATTAAAAATAAATAATTACAGAAATACTATTAGGTTTTTTTAGGGTTGCCCAACGTTTCTTTCTTTTATATATAAGATATTAGTTTTTTTAAATCTTACATATTAAGATTTATAATCCAAATAAATACATTAAGATTTAACAAATCGAATTTCTATCTTTATCTCTTAAGATTTGAGATATATTGATGAAAAATAGAAGATTGATAATTGTTGAAAATTATTGTTAGACAACTAGTAGACAAAATTTGAATGATGGATATAAATTCTTGGATTCCACTTTACCTTTATCTAAAAGGAAAAAAATATATAATTATGCTTTTTTGATTTTAGAATCATTATGTTAAAAGATATTTCATCTTATACTCAATTTTACAAAAATCCATATAACTCTTATAAAAAAATCGAAAATAGCAAAAAAAGAACATGAAAAAAAAATCCTCACACCTCTCATATAATTGATTTATTATTATTTTAAATCTATATAGTATAATGTTAAAATTCCACCACAAAAATAGAATAAAAAAATAAAAAATAAAAAGCATCACGAAGAGCCATAAGAAAAGGAATCGACGGTTGGGATGATTTGAAGCCGCCGGACGGCTCCACCCAACGATCATCCATAACTCCACGCGTCCCTTCTTATTCTCCAACAGGTTAATCCCACAGTCCCCGTCACGATCTGTATATATATCTCACAAATCTGTACGTATATATATATATTTATATTTATTCTTTCGCGGACCCTTCACCCATCTGTCGATTTCCCTCCCTCCCCAGTCCCCCCTCTCTCTCGCTCTCTCTCTCTCACACACACACGTACACAGTAACTCGTGTAACATTTTCTCTCTCTAGAATTTTGATTTAAGCGTTAATTCCGTGAATTCTGGTGAAGATTTTTCGGACGTACTTTTCAAATCCGTGATACTATTGGAAAACTTCTTCTAGAATCTTCAATTTCTTCTCTGCTTATTTCGAGCAAATTTTCAGATTGATTTTCTCTCTCAATTCTGCTCGTGCAAGTTGAAGAAAAAACGTTGATTTCAAATCGGTGTTCGACTGTAGCTTTCCATTTCTCTACAGTAGCGAGTAAACTGACTTGGATTTGTTGCTTTCGACGAATTTAGCGTGGTGGAGGATTGGGGAAAGCATTTTGTGCTTGGTGGTTTAGTTTGCATTCGGTGTTCGAAGGCGGCGAGATCTGCTGCGGAGTTCGGAATTCGAATTTGATCGTGTTTTTCCGATTCATACACTGCCGGTAATTTGCTATGTTGCCTTTTGTTAAGCAGAACGATCTATTTTTGTTCTTGTTTGCTTTAATGGAGTTTGGTTATTTTTTTGTTTAGTAGCTTAGTGTGTTCGTGTACGTGTTTGCTTAATTGCTTGTTTCTTTTTGTTTATACCTTTTTTTATTTTTTTTAATTTTTTTAATTGCACCGAAGAGCAGATAAGCTCATTCGTTTGAGAAAATTATTTAAAATTTGATGATTGTTAGTGATCAATGTAGCGAGCTGATAAGAAGATAAGGAATATTTGACTTTGACAAATATGAGATTGTTACATGGATGCACGTAGCAAGAGTATTTGTATGTAATGTTTCACGCATCTCTATGCTGGCCTTTTAGGACTTGTTCAATCATTTGATAACCAAAGTCATGGCTTGGTTGTTATTTGATTTTAAGAAAGTTACGAACTTTCTATTTACATGTGCAAGTTTGGTGTGGTTTTCTTGAGTTCGGTCGGTACACCTTTCCATTTTAAGAAAGTCACGAACTTTCTATTTACATGAGCAAGTTTGATGTGGTTTTCTTGAGTTCGGTCGGTAATTTGGACACCTATCCTTTTGCCTGTCAATGCGTATAAAAAATGTTTAGTGTGTAACTTAATTTTACTTTTTGCTCGTCGGTAGGGTTTATGGATGTGATTCTGCCCGTTTTAGTAATTATGCAATAAGTGTTAATTTATAGGCACGTTTTGATGGAAGGATGATGATTTTACATGCATTTTCTGTTCTTATATATACGCACTTTCCAAGTATAAAGGTACACGTATCTATTTATAAATGTGGGCACATGAAAATTGGAAACTTCTATTCGTTGATAGAATTTTTTGCATGGTAGTTTGTCGTATGAAAGCTGATTTGATCTTGTTGTTTGAAGTTTTGGGAACATAGTTCAAAACATTAAAGATTTGCCAGCATTGCAACATCTCCTCGTTATTTTGAATATTGGAAGACATGGGGTTTGGCTCGGCAACAATGTTAGAGACGGCGAACACTTTGTCAACCTCTGATCACCTTTCAGTCATCTCAATAACTTTGTTTGTCACGCTCCTTTGCGCATGTATTGTGATTGGTCATCTATTGGAGGAAAATCGGTGGATGAATGAATCTATCACAGCCCTCGTAATTGTAAGTATATTTGTGCCATTGAATTTACATATGCTATATTCGTTCCTTAAGCATGCTTTATTGTCCAAGTGATGATTGATGTTTTTAAATCAAAGGGTGTCAGCACCGGAGTTGTAATTCTACTAATAAGTGGAGGGCAGAGCTCACGTCTCTTGGTGTTCAGCGAGGATCTTTTCTTCATTTATCTGCTTCCACCAATCATCTTCAACGCTGGGTAAGTTAAGCCTATTTACACCTCTATCTCTTCTGGATCCAGCTTGCTTTTATCTATTGATTTCTGTTGGATATTTGCGTCCTGATTTTTATCTACAGCGCATATTGATGTGGTTTCTTCTATTAGGAGTTGATGATTCAATCAGATACGTGACAATTATCATGATATAAATTGTGGTTATTAGCTTCACAAAGAAATCTATCGGTGCCGACCTAAAGTTATCCTATTTTCTGTATGTGTTACAAATATTTATTATCGCCTATGTCTGGGGTAAACCTGCATTACCCAGTAACTCTCGTCAAGAGGTATGGTTCCTAGTTGTACCTCTTGATGTTATTGACGTTCTGGAACTAGCAACTACTATTCCATTCAATGATTTTTTGATAACAAATGAGATATATTTAATTAAGAAATCAAAACATATTAAATGCTTATATGTCGTTTGAATTGTTGTTCTGGGTAAATAAATATTCAGCTGAGATCATTGCCTGGCAAGTCTGGGCAGTATTCTTGTACTATGACTGGGAGAAGAACTCAATTTTCTGCCACCCTTGTGTTGCCTTGGAAGTTGTTTAGTAGAAGATTCATATGCATCGCTGCTGCAAAGTTTACCAATATGCGGATGTTGCGGTTTATTTTTTTCACCTTGATCCGTGAATCAGGTTCCAGGTTAAAAAGAAACAGTTCTTTCGCAACTTCTCCACTATAATACTGTTTGGAGCACTTGGTACCTTGATATCCTTCATTGTCATATCACTAGGTACGGCTTTCTACTCGATCTAGTTTATATGATCAGTTATCCTTTTCCAACTTCTTTGTACTTATACACATACTTATGTATGCATCCGTTCTGGAGTACTTCCAAAACGAATCATGTTTTCATAAGCTAGTGAATTTTCTTTATTGGAAACATGCATGACTAGGCTGAAATGTAATTTTAAGTCTTGCAACAGAACTTTTGAGAAGGAAAAAGTTGAAGAAGACAAGAAAAAAAAGGATTACATAGACAAAAGGAGCAAGATAATATTTTTCGAGAAAATTTAATTCATCGCGTATCTCAAAGATCTATTTCCTTGTTTGTGCATTCTTTCATTCTGTTACTCTGTAGTAGTAAATGGCTATGCTGTTACTTAGATCTTCTAAATTTTGTGCAGGTGCTATCGCCGCCTTTCGGAATCTGGATATTGGTCTTGCAATTGGAGATTATCTTGGTAATCTACTCTCTCTCCCGTTCTTGCATGTTGGTCTGTACATGCATTAACCCATGTCGCTTTTTTTTTCCCTCTTTCCAGCAATTGGAGCAATTTTTGCAGCAACGGATTCGGTTTGCACGTTGCAGGTGCATTTTACAGCTTTTTACCGTTTGATCTATGATGGAATCTTTTCTTACTATGATGCAATATGTTGAATTTACAGGTGCTCAGTCAGGATGAAACACCATTGCTGTACAGTCTAGTATTTGGTGAAGGCGTTGTGAATGATGCAACATCTGTTGTGCTTTTCAACGCAGTGCAAAACTTCGACCTATCTCATATCAATACCGCTGTAGCTTTGAAGCTAGTGGGAACTTCTTTTATTTGTTATCACAAGCACGG